TCGCTATGTTTTTCTCCCTCTCTTCTCTCATTCTTTCTTCCTCGTTCTCTCTGGTGTTACCTTCCTTCCTTCCTTCCTTCCTTCCCTCGCTATGTTTTTCTCCCTCTCTTCTCTCATTCTTTCTTCCTCGTTCTCTCTGGTGTTACCCTTCCTTCCTTCCTTCCTTCCCTCGCTATTTTTTTTCTCCCTCTCTTCTCTTATTCTATTTCCCTCATTCTCTCTAGTGTCACCTTTCCTTCCTTCCTTCCTTCCTTCCTTCCTTCCTTCCTTCCTTCCCTCACTATGTTTTTCTCCCTCCCTTCTCTCATTCTATCTCCCTCGTTCTCTCTGTCTCACCCTTCCTTCCATCCTCCTTCCTTTCTTCCCTACAGGCAGGTACTGGCTGACAGCAGACCGGTGACAACCAGATATTGGCTAGTAATAGGTTGGCACTTGTGGAGGATTGCTAGGCAGGGGATCAAGGAACAGCAGAGTCAGACATTTGTGGTCAGAGACTGTAATCAGATGAGTGAGTACAAGTACTTAGACAAGAGTCTGGTTATGGTGCAGGCCAGAGTTGGTTGTGGATGCAGATCACACCAGAAACATTGTAGACAAGACCGCACTGAACCTGAGCACTGGTTCAGTTTTAAATAGCCTGTATGGTGCCAACATTAATGACAGTCAAGCACTGCACTGTAGCAGGCCGCATTTTATTGCAGAACACTGTCCCAAAGTGCACTGCAGTGTCATCGTATCTTGCTGCTGGACATTGCAGTAAATGTAGTGTATGTTTTGTATACTTCAAAAAAAAAAAGGGGGGGGGGGGGCAGTGCAATGTGGTGAATCTTGCCCCACTCTGCCAACTACTGCAGCTAGCAGCACAGAAAGGCCGGAGCGGTAAATTGACCCGGCAGGTCTGTGATTTAATGTGTTGTATGTGTGAATTCGCCCTACGTCATTAATTGTAAAAACTAAATAAAAAGTATTTAAAACCAATTTTATTTTTTACACTTGCGATGGAGTAGATATTGATTAGTACCCTTCTTAGGATTTTTTCTTGGGTAGAAAAAAATGACATCCTCCATCTTTCTGCAGACTTCTGGGATACACATATAATGCATCTGAGGAGGCTTCAGGGCAGTCTAGAGAGCAAGCACTCCAGTGTGTCATCAAGGGGCCAGCTATCAATCTTTGGCCCCTGCAGCCATCCCCTGATGACCTACATGCACTGTGGAGCACCATCGGGGCTGGTTGCAAGCACCAGAAATAGGCACCTCGCTGATGAGGGAAAAGTGGAAGACAGCATGTGACCAGGGGGGCAGCAGTGAAATGGTGCTTACTGCAGAGCAATGCTGAATCTGACTATGCGTATGAAAAACAACCCAGTGAAAATGGCATGGAAAATAAAAAAAACAAAAAACAAAAGGTTCCTCTTTAATGTTACAGCCTTCCATTAACGGATGGCTGGGTATGCAGCTCTGAGGAGATGCTGGTAGGTTGATTTACGCATTCTTAAAATGTCTGTGTGTACCCCAGCTGGCCATATACAAGGCAGTTTCTGGTACCAAAAAAACTTTTATTGGAAAAGTTTTAGTGCATACAGTGTGTAAGCAATAACAAAAACATAGTTCAACATATAATATAATAGAATGTTTCATCCACACAGGGGTACATGAATAGTAGAAAAATACAACAATATCAAAAAGTTGGTTGGAGCCAAAGTACTACACTGAAATTCAGTAAAGATCACATACAAGTCAAGGTTGGAAAACATGGCGTGGGTCGTGCAACCTAACCCCTGTTAATAAGAACCGTATGCATAGGCTGGTGGGCGGTTTCTTTGGAAATTTCAATAGCCTTTAAGATCCAGGGAACATACCTTCTTTTTTTAGTCTTTTTTAGTCTTTGCAATGGAAGCTGTTGCTGGTAGGTTGCCTTTATTTGATTGCAACAAAAAAAGGGAGGAAAGAAATTGTGCTGAGGATAAATATGAATGTTACAAATGTGAATAATAGGTCTCTCCAAACTGAGGTTCATGGGCTGGATGTGGCCCTTTGCGTGCCTTTAACTAGACCTTGGGACACTATTTCCCCCACTGACATGAGGCACTATCGCTCTACAGTGGAAGTGAGAATGTTGCCCTTACAGACAGCTAAAAACTGAAACTATGCAGACACATCAGGAACCCCTAGCAAGAAGAAAAGAGCCCTAGTTGAGTATGGCTGAGCTCAATTGCATTGGTGAAACTTCATGGCTTGGTGATGTTTAGTTTAAACTAAATATATATCTGTGTACACTTATGTATTACTGTATGACATAGGAACGTGACAAAATCAGGTCTGCTGGGACTTATGGATGCTTTAAATGTACATTTATTTATTTTTATTGCAAGTACTTATATAGTGCTGTCAATTTACACAGCGCTTTACATTTATATTTTACATTCCCATCAGTTTCTAACCCTCAAGGGGTGTACAATCTAAGGTCCCTAACTTACATTCATACATAGGTCCCTAAACGTACATTTACATACACAAATTACCTATGAGCATGTCTTTGGAGTGTGGGAAGAAACCAGAGTACCCAGAGGAAACCCACACAGGAGCAAGGAGAACATACAAACTCCAGGCAGATGTTGCCGTGGCTGGGATTTGAACCAATGACCATAGTACTGCCAGGTGGAAGTGCTAACCACTTGGCCACTCTGCTACCCGTTGTGTTGCATCTGTCTGACTAAGAAGTAAACCTTAAAGAGAGTCTATCCTGTGAGACTCATAGAAGCTGCCATTGCTGAACTCTTCTTTTGAGAATGTTCGTTCCTTGGCTGTCTTGCTGAAGCTTTGGCTTCATTGATTTTTGAGTTGCTGAGCTACCTGGAAAGAGCATAGAGATCAGGAATACTTGCACTTTTCTGACTCTCATTGAAAGCATGCTTAAAGTGATTGTAAACCCTCACCTTGTAAAACAACCCATTCAGTTTTAAAATAAAAATGAAAGGCAAGACACTTGTGTAAAATATAAAAAACATTATAAATACCTTTTTTTACACTCTGTTCTAGAGGCGTAACTAGAACCTTCATGGCCTTGGTGCAAGAAACCATGAAAGGCCCACTGATCCTGTGGCCCTTTACTCCCGTCGCGAGTCCCTTTATTACGGTCTCGCAGCGAGACCCTTTCACGTGTTCTGCAATGAGCCTTCTTCCTCTATAGTTGCCAACATTTCAAAGAGGTTTTTAGGAACAACTTTTTTTTCTGTGTGTCCAGAAAGCCACTGTAGGCGGAGTATATACTTTTACTGCTTGCCAGAAGTACTGCGGCACAAATATATACGTGATTTGCATTTCCAGGTATGGGACTCACCCCCTTCCCAAAAGAAAAACACAGAGACCCCAACAGCTAGCTATTCCCCCCCCCCCCAAGACAAAAAAGACAGCATCACAGTAATTCACATGAGAGACGCCCCAACGCAGGAATGGGCACAGGGGGGGGGGGGGGCGCATCAGGACAAGTCTGATCTCTGGAGGAGAGCAGGCTGCGTTTCCAGCACAGCTAGAGAACTGCCCATGCTGTGTGCTCATGCCTAGTGTGGTCAGTTTGTAACAGGAAAGCAGAGGGACTGACAGAAACACCAGGGGTTTCACACAAAGAAGAAATACAAAGAGAAAAGGATACTTTTTCATACAAGTACATGGTGCAGCAGGCACATATCAGGATTTTCATATTCTTTAAAGCCATGCAAATCATCAACAGGCCAGCATTGGCAGTACTTCCCTGATGACAGTGTTAAAACATTTAACCAAAGCTCTGCTGTAGTGCAACACACCACCCTGCCCCTTTGACAATAATCTGATGATGGTGCAGCACAGTGGCTAAATGGTTAGCACTTCTGCCTGGCAGCACTAGGGTTGCTGGCTTGAATCCCACCCTGGCACCACCTGCCTGGAGTTTGCATGTTCTCCCTATGACTGCATGGGTTTTCTCTGGGTTCTCTAGTTTCCTCCCACACTCCAAAGACATGCTGGTAGGTTAATTGGCTCCTGTCTAAATTGTCCCTAGTATGTGTATGTATGAATGTGAGTTAGGGACTTTAGATTGTATGCTCCTTGAGGGTTAGGGACTGATGTGAATGTACAATATATGTATGTAAAGTGCTGTGTAAATTGATGGCGCTATATAAGTACCTGAAATAAATAAAATAAATGATCTGAGAACACTAGTTTGTGATGCAGAAGAGGATTTCCCAAACACTTCTTTGCTGTTTCTCACATGACCAAAAAACAAAAAACTTAAAAAATATATTGGTGCCAAAGAAGAGATTTCTTTCAGCCACCAATTAGAATAAAACTTGAAATGGCAGTTACCGGGCACACATTCTAGAAAGTGACCCTGTGAGATTGTGTGTGGATTCAGGCTAGAAGGGATTGCATAAAGTTCAGATGAAAGTAAAAATGGAATGCTTTGCTATTCTTTTTAATGCCCCTTCCACCTTCACTTTCACCAAGAATTGAAATAAATAAAAACTCACACCCAAGGTTGGAAGCGTCTATGGTGGCAGCAAGCTGACCTACAGCACACCCATTTTCCTATGCTTTCTCTGAGCTGGCTGGGTGAAATCAGGCTTATAGACGTCCAGCTGATAAACACTTTTGTAGAACTGCATACAGTAAACTGAATGAGTATGCTGTGGGTCTGCCCAGTGCTAGCATAGAAGCTTCTGGTCTGAGGTCTGCATTTTTTATTGTGTTTGGGAAAGGCAAGAGGGGGCTTGCAAAATGTAGTGTAATAATAAGTAAATTGCATGAGATTCTGCTTTTCTGTGTTTGCTCACTGACCAGCATCAGTCTTTGGAACTTCAATGTACTCTGTAAATTGCTGCAGTGTTTATCAGGCTTCAGAAAAAAATAAAATAAATTTACTGAATACACGTTTACTTCTTTCAGTTTCTATACTGATCTGCACCATGTCATGATCTGTGTTTTATGTTCTACAGGCACAAGTTCCAATGAAAGGATAGAGGGATGGCTGTAGAGAACAGAGATGCAATATCTTGGTATCAGAAAAAAGTGAGTATATATCCTATATTAATAAGTATGTATACTCCCATGCTAACTCCTAAATACTATTTTCATTTTTATTATTATTGTGAGTTGCCTGCTGACACCACAGTGTCTCTCCCATACTGATAGAATAAAGTTTAAAGCAGTGGTCTCCAAACTGCGGCCCAAGGGCCAATGGCCCTTTGCTTGCTTTTATCTGGCCCTTGGGGCACTATTGCATCCACTGATGCCAATTGGGTATAATTTCTGCCACTTACATCAATGAAGGGGGCACAACTCCTTTCAATGACAACAGTGATGAGGCACAATTCCTCCTCCAGTGGCACAAATGAGAGGGTCCAGTGACATCAATGATGGGGCAGAAGTCCTCCCACTGACACCAAACAAAGGGGCATTATTTTTTTCCCACTAACGTTGGGACCTTTTCTATTCCGGCCCTCGGCCCTCGTAAAATCTGAAGGACAGTAAATTGGCCCTTTGTTTAGAAAGTTTGGAGACCCCTGGTTTAAAGTATATGTAAACCTTCACCTTGTAAAAAAAACCCATACACTTTAAAATGATACCCTCTGGTCTCAGCTGCATAGAGAGATGAGGGTGGAGAAACAGCAGCACACTGGCCTTCCCAATGAATAGTTGTTCAGGGGGTGTGTGTCAACACAAGTTTGATTATTGGAGGAGAGTAGGCTGAGTTCCCAGCTCAGCCACAAATCTGATCATGCTGTGCTGTCATGTCTAATGTAGTCAGTTTTTGGTAGGAACACAGAGGGACTGGCAGGAACACCAGGGATTTCACACAAAGGAAGCAACACAAAGAGAACAGGATAATTTTTCATACAAGTACATGGTATAGCAGGAGCAGGCAGATATCTGTTATTTGAAATGTTTACATATATTAAGTTAGGTGCTGCTTAATATCTGTATAAAATACTTCAAATATCCAACAACACAAAAACAGTTTAAATATAAATCACATTTCTTCACTAAAAACACAACAAATATCATATTAATAATATACTACTAATAATAAAAATAAATAACCACGTGAAACATGTTCAGTGGTGTCAAAGTTGCAACTTTTAAATCCACAATAGAACAATGTGCAAAACAAAATATCCACATACACTCACCGGCCACTTTATTAGGTACACCTGTTCAATTGCTTCGTAACACAAATTGCCAATCAGCCAATCACATGGCAGCAACTCAGTGCATGTAACCATGTAGATGTTGTGAAGACAATTTGCTGAAATTCAAACCGAGCATCAGAATGGGGAAGAAAGGGGATATAAGTGACTTTGAAAATGGCATGGTGGTTGGTGCCAGACGGGCTGGTCTGAGTATTTCAAAAACTGCTGATCTACTGGGATTTTCACGCACAACCATCTCTAAGGTTTACAGAGAATGGTCTGATAAAGAGAAAATATCCAGTGAGCGGCAGTTTTGTAGACAAAAATGCCTTGTTGATTGCAGAGGAGAATGGGCAGACTGGTTTGAGATGATAGAAAGGCTACAGTAACTCATGTCAATATGGATGAAAATCTCTACAGAATGTTTCCAATGCTTACCACGAAGAATTAGGCATTCTGAAGGAAAAAGTGGGTACTAGCAACGTGTACCTAATAAAGTGGTCAGTGAATGTACATTGTGCTCAAAAGTCTCTGCGTCCTCTACACACATCTCCAAAGCAGTAGTCATCCTTATAACTCCAATGGTTTTCCTCAATCCACTGTGTTTCACACTTGGTGACTTCCTCCACCAATACTCAGTCAATGCCCTCACTGTTTATAACCTATATATTACTACAGGTTACATACAGTAAGCTTGTTCCTTTTAAAGACATACAGAAAAGCTTCCACACCTCTCCTCTTTTTTTTTTCTCCAGTGGAGTCAGTGTAACTCAAAATGAAAAATACATTCACTCCATTCAATATTTACAATCAGCCGTTTATTGAAACCAATGACGATACAATTACATAACATTGTGCACTAACTGGTGCACCCAGGACAATTTGCATAGACACTAATTTCCTTTTCCCTTTTCCAGTGATCGGCACCACTCTATCTGATCACTGCTTAGTATGATGTCACCCATCTCCGCCCTATGCTTTGCTCCACCTCTCATGTGACTTCCTCAGGGAATTGAACTTTCATGAGTTAATGCAGATTAGAGGGATCGAAGGGCACACCATATAGATGTATACATTTAGGTTTTTGTAAGAAATATACAGTATACTGGAGTACGCTGTAGGGCTTCCTTTGACAGATGAGTCTGTCATAATGTGTCAGTATGCTGTGCATGCTAGCACATTATGGCATAAAGCTGCAGGGGGACCGAATAAAAAAATAACCACTTTAGAGGGTGCTGCAACATCTTCTGTCTGGTCACAATGTACAACATTGATGAAATATGTTGCCAGCACACTGATAAGGTTGTCTCAAAGTGCACAGTACTTTATTCTTGTATGATTACATAAAAAAGCAACATTTTGGGAAAACACAAGGACTCTTCCTCAGGCATTTTCGTCACTGCCTGGAAAAAGGGTTATTGCATGGTCTTGATATGTTGCTTTTCTAAGTGATCATACAAGAATAAACAGCTGTGCCCTTTGAGACAACCTTATCAGTGTGCTGGCAACATATTTAATCTATGGTTGGTTGACACCAAAACAAGTACAGTATCTTGGAGCAAGTGCACCTTTACATTGAGGGGTTGATGACTGGTTTGCACTTTTTTTCAGGAATTGATGGATTTTGTAATGTAATTGAATTATGAGCTCAACTCATTTGTTCTGCACTATTTGGGAAATATTTATATTTTGCATAACATATTTATACACTGTGGGCACTATATTTATTTGTACTCTGTAGGACAGGGTTTCTCAACCAAGGTTCCTCCAGAGCTTGCTAGGGGTTCCTTGAGCAATGAGCAATTTCTACCTCTCAAATAAGTTTCCACTGACACCATGGGGTTTATTTACTAAAGCTGGAGAGTCCAAAATCAGACTCCCTTCTGCATAGAAACCAATCAGCTTCTAACCTCAGCTTGTTCAATGAAGCTTTGGCAATGAAACCTGGAAACTGATTGGTTTCTATGCAGAAGGGAGTCTGATTTTGGACTCTCCAGCTTTAGTAAATAAACCCCCATGGGTCTTTTTAGCTATCAGTAAGATGGTAATTTTTCTCAATGACCAAAAGTGTAAGGAGCATTCAACTCACTGACCATCTCACTAATGTATCATGAGTTGTAGACATAGTAAGTTTTAACAGGGGTTCCCTGAGACCGGAAAGTTATTTCAAGAGTTCCTCCATGCTGAAACGGTTGAGAAAAGCTGCTGTAGGAGATAAGAATTTGAGAGTTTATGTATATCATTTAAGTTAGCACTGTATGTATGCATATATGTATATATTTGTTTGATCACTGTAGTAGCTTGGTTGATTTTCCAGCAGTATGTCTCTGTGTGCTGCACCTCAGGGAATAAAACCCACTGATTGTGTAAATATAATTTACTTTTGTGACTCTGATAACAGGAGCATAGATTGGTTGGTTAGCACAGCACCTCTCAGTTTGGGACTTTGCTCTAATGGGAAGTACTGAAGCAAACAGACAAAGATCTCCTAATCCAATGTTGACTGTTATGTTGTAAAACACTCTCAATAAAAAGAAAAACTATACAAATTAGGTATTAATAAAGCACACAATGTCCCTAGATAGCAGATAGATTTTATGTTGTGCCTAAATTAGAAGGAAAGCCTAATACTTAATTTTCCCCCTGCAATCATTAATGTTCAGCATTATGTCTCAGAATGAAAAAATCGCACTTTTTATACCTTTATTTTGCAGTGTCCAGTGCCTGTCACATGACTTCAATCCCTCTCCCTTCTGTGTCTAAGAGCAGCCAGTGGGCTTGTTTACTAAAGGCTAGAGACATCACTTCCAGAAGTCACACTGTTCCCGTGTGGCTAGTGGGCACACACAGGATGGGAGGAGCTGATCACAGGATCCCTGATCAGTGCTCTCCAATGAGGATTCCTGTGCATCTTCATTCATGAGAAAATGAAGAAATAAAAAAAAAACATTCACACAGGACACAGGAGGGCGGGGAGGTCCAGTGCACATACAGCCCTGGGTAAAGGTTTTGAGAATGACACAAATATACATTTTCACAATATTTGCTGTCTCCGTTTTTATGATGGCAATTTGCATATACTACATAATGCTACAATTGATCAGATGAATTGCAACTGATTGCAATGTCCCCCTTTGCCATGAAAATGAACTTAATCCCCCAAAAAAACCTTTTCTACTGCATTTCAGCCCTGCCACTAAAGGACCAGCTGACATCATGTCAGTGATTCTCTCATTAACACAGGTGTGATGATGAGAAAAAGGCTGGAAATCACTCTGTCATGCTGACTGCATTAGATTAAGAGACTGAAAGCTTTAAAAGGAGGGTGGTGCTTGAAATCATTCTTGAAATATCCCTGTGATAACCATGGATACGTGCAAGGAAACGTGCAATCATCATTGCTTTGCACTGAGTTTGCACCTAAATCAACCATTTATCGGATCATCAAGAACTTCAAGGAGAGAGGTTTGATTGTTGTGAAGAAGTCTTCCAGGTGCCCAAGAAAGTCCAGCAAGTGCCAAGACCATCTTCTAAAGTTGATTCAGCTGCGGGATCGGCGCATCACCGAAGCAGAGCTTGCTCAGGAATGGCAGCAGGCAGGTGTGAGTGCATCAGCATGCACAGTGAGGCAAAGACTTTTGAAGGATAGCCTCATGTCAAGAAGGGCAGCAAAGAAGCCACTTCTCTTCAGGAAAATACATCAGAGACAGACTGATATTCTGCAAAAGGTCCAGGGATTAGACTGCTGAAGACTCGGGTAAAGTCATTTTCTCTGATGAATCCCCTTTCCGATTCTTTGGGGCATCTGGAAGAAACCTTGTCCAGAGAAGAAAAGGTGAGCGCTACCATCAGTCCTGTGTCATGCCAACAGTAAAGCATCCCTGAGAGCATTCATGTGTGGGGTTGCTGATCAGCTATGGGAGTGGGCTCACTCACAAGTTTGCCTAAGAACACAGCCATGAATAAAGAATGGTACAAAAACATCTCCGAGACCAACTTCTCCCAACCACCCAAAAACAGTCTGGTGATGAACAATGCCTTTTCCAGCATGATGGAGCACCTTGCCATAAGGCAAAGTGATAACTAATTGGCTTAGGGAACAAAACATTGAAATTTTGGGTTCATGGCCAGGAAACTCCCCAGACCTTAATCCCACTGAGAACAAAATTCTGACAAACTCCAAGCATTGATTATGCAAGAATGGGAGCCTGCCATCAGTCAGGATGTGGCCCAGAAGTTGATTAACAACATGCCATGCCATTGCAAATTGCAGAGGTCTTGAAAAAGGCACACTCCCTATGAATACGTGCTTGAGCACGAAACACGTAAAGGAAGAGCTGCAGCGTCCAGACGTCAAGCTGCCGGGGCCCATGAACTGAGAAGGCCTCGTGCAAACTCCCAGATTTGTAAGCTGGTCCGGTGGCCATCTTGATTCAACTCATGGTCAGTCTGTTTTATACTGTTTGTCTATCCCTGCTATGGATCAATAAATATCCCCTGTTGAAACGATATCACACCATTTTGGCATCCAGTATTTCTGGGGCTCCTGTTGAGCCTACCACCCACAGAGCCTAGTTAGAGAGGAGCTGAGAGGTGCGGCATTCCATTGATGAACCAGAGGGAACTCCTTACTATGATAGAGGAGTCCATAGGATGCCGCAGCTGACACACTAAGATGTGATATTTTCTCAAATGCATGATGGAATTATGCATCTGGTGAGTGTGTAATTCACATATTTGATCACCAGAAGATGCACATGTGGATCACTTGCCAAAAATAAGAGTGGGGGTTCACATAATTTTGGTACAATATATAGACTATGGCACCTTATCACTAATAGTCATCATCTTGGATGTGCGTTTGCACTTTTGTCACTTTATTTTCCTGATGTTGGAAATATTGTAACTTCATGTTATACATCTTTATTGAGAGTTTTGGTTGCTATCACTAGCAATTTTATTGATATTTAATTACTTATTACTTTGATGTGGTTTTTAGCGCTGCAGCTTTATTTATTATATTGTAGACAGTATAGCTGAGCAGGGCTTTGAATCAAGACTACAACAGAAGAGCAGAAGGCAGCTGAACACAGGGGCGACTGTCAATGTAGCTGGAAGTTCTCTGGGGTCTCAAGTCAGCTCAGAGTTTACAATGAACACTATACCTTAAAGTTTACTAAACCCAGGACCCTGCATTCACTATATCTGGTCTCACACAGTACACAGAATAAGGAAATACAATTATTTTAGTAAATACAAACTGCTAAATACCTTTTCTCATCAGCAGTTAGAGCAGTCTTGTGACTTCTATCAGTGTCCAGCAGAGCACTGGTTACAGCTTGCAGGAGAGGTTTTCTTTCTGCTCTAGGAGGATGAAGAACCCCTTACCTCTGTCTGGACAGTGCTGATTGGCCCTGTGCTCATCACATGCACTCTCCCAAGAAAAAGAAAAAACTCTATAGCAATACACACCAAACGGTACATGTGCAGAGTGTCTCCACTCAATATGTCTTATAAGGAGATAAGAGGGGGACACTGGAAGAGGGGGAGGATCAGAGAAGACAGGATCAGACAGCATTTTTACACAATGCAGAGGATTAATCCCTTAGGCTCCACAGTGAGTATATAAAACATGCTTTACTGCATATACAGACTGATTTTACTGTTGTGGGTTTAGTACCACTTTAACTTCACGTTGATTCCTCCTTGTAGTGTGAGTGTAACGCACAAAAAGCAGAAAACTCCATGCGATTCTGCCTGGTAGTGTGAGTTTAATGTGCTGTGTGCATGTGTGTGTTGTGCTGTATACATGTACAGTGTGCCTTACAATGGCTGCTCTCTGGAAGTAAGGAGAAGCTTCTGCTGGTGGCTGGGAGGGATGGCAGTGATGCTGGGCGAGACTGCGAAGGACAGGGGTGGGTTTACTCAAACCTCTGCTGGATTTCTGTAACAGAGACCGACAATGGTTTCAGAAAGTGCCTATGAGCTGCTGTATTCAGCTGATCAGGCAAACCGTTGTCGGTAAAGAACAGAAGACTGCTGATTGTCTAGCTCAGATTCGTCTTTCTAAGCTAGACAAGCAGTAAGTCTTAAAATGCATGATACCAAAATTAAACATATCTAACATAGTAATCATGGGCAAATTTTTAATTTTGACTGGAATTACACTTTAAGATTTGGTTCACATCACTGCGGGCTGCATTAAGCAGTTACGGCAGCCCATTCATTTTAATAGGCCATCCTATCCAAAGAAACGCGGGTGAAAAAAGTACCTGACCCTTTTTAAAACTGTACCGCACTTAACTGCATTGTGCTGAGGCACCATACTTTTTCACATTCACCAAAGCATGTGTGAGGATGCCATTAAGAAATAATGGCAACCCCATGTGTCTGCTAAAGAGCAACACCTTTCTCTTTAGAGTCAGGAACATGCATTATTTTGCACGTGTTCCAGGTACGTTATAATGTGAACCTAGCCTTGGGGGCTTCCAAGGGACGGTATCACATATCTATTTTGCCTGAGAAAGCACTTTAGCATGCCTTCAGTGCTTTGACAAATTGATAAATCAGGCCAAATATAATATCTGTATATCTTATATTACTACAAATGCTGTTGAAAATAATTTTATTCTTTGGCTGTAAATAGTGTAAAACTGCATTTACTGTAATGCTTTTTGTGTCTAAATTGGCTAATGCTCAAACAGCGTTGTTCTCAGACATTTCAGACGAGATCCCCAGACATCTTCAAACCCTCATTTTCTTTATTTTCTCAGCTGCTAAAATAGCCATAGCACGAGCATGGAAGTTACCTGTGACTAATATTACCTTGGTCAAGCATAAGATATCTTGGATTAAACAAACCTGGTTTGAGAAGGTTTGGAATGCCTGGATCACATATCTTCAAGCCCCTTAGATACCAGGACATCGTGTAGCCTGGGATCTGGATCGGGAGGACCAAATTTGTTTCCCTTTCCTTTTCCTTTCTTTTCTTTTCTTTTTCTTTCTCTTTATTTATGTTTAATGTCTGTGGACTTTATGAGTAAGTTTAAGGGGAGACCTTGAAGCCCCCCTCATTTTTACATATTTAAGGGAGCACGGCTCCACACCTAAGAGAAGGAGGAATATTCTCTGAATATTTACTTCTTCACCTCATTGTGAAACCAAGATGAAAGTTGACGTACATTTCAAAGTAATGTTCATTTATAATGATGTCTGTGACTGTCTTATGCAGTTGATTGAGCTCACATATAGAGTCCTACATCCTGGGCATGTTGCTTCTCTTTCCTGTAGAGCCAGCCTGTTAAAACTGATGTACTAGTTTGAATGTATCAGGACAACCAAGCTCTGGCCTTGCAGTATGTAGGAGGGTGAACTCATTACCTCTTTTCTCCCCCCCTTCCTTCTACCTGTTCACTTGACATATGTAGTATTACGATTGTATCGCTGTCCTAATTTTCAAAATTGAATTAACCTCCCTGGCGTTCTAACTAATCAATATTTTTGAATGTCAAAGCGGTACATTGTTTTGCATGGACATTTGTTGTTTTTTATTGTAGGCCTGTAATTCTTAGGAATAACTTACTTAAATCTGTCCAAACAAGAGTCTAGTAAACATCCCGGGTATGATAAAGTTTGAAACACGAAATCATAAATTTTAATATAATAAATAATTTTAAAAAATAATAATCTAATAATAATAAATTTAATTCAATAATGTAATGAAACCAAAAACACTGAAATTTGAAATAGAGCACCAAGTTCGCACATCACTGAGAAAAGTCGCTGAATCGTCATTGTCGTCACTTTCAGTGTCTGATGACGAATTTCCCTACAAATCACTAGCACTCAATTCTGCAAGTGGTTCTAATTTACTATCACTGTTTTCTAGTTAGTCTAAAACCGCTTTTGACCTCAAGGGACACTTTTTGGATGCCATGGACATTCTCACATTTCCAGGCAGAAAGAATGATAAAGTGCAGGCAGGGCACAGGACAAAGCACTAGGGACACAATTTAGGTGAAATGGTTTGATGTAATATAATACTAACAGATTACAATGTATTGTGTGCATGTCATATTTTTACCTTTTTGAATCTCCCGCTGGTTCCGCCCCCCTGCGTCCCAACGTCGCAGGGAACGGAACCCGCCGGGAGGACATCGGGGGATCGAAGGACAAAGTGAGGATCGAGGGACAAGCACTGCAGTGTAATCCTGAGTGTGGCTCGGGGTTACTGCTTTTGGTACTGTAAATTAACCCCGAGCCACACTCGGGATTACCGATTGGTATTTTAAAATCTATTGAAAAAGAAAATTGCTAATGCTTTACTAACCCTATTTATTCCAGATTGGAGCGTATGACCAACAAATATGGGAAAAATCAGTAGAACAGAAGGAGATAAGAGTTAAGGTAAGATGTTAAGTTGTCTTGTATTAAAGCAAATGTGTTCACGGATATAAAATACTCCTTTATATATCCAACAAAGACACCCTAAATATACACTGCTCAAACAAAATTAAAGGAACACTTTTTAATCAGAGTATAATCTGTATAATATCAAGTCAAAATAAACTCCTGGGATATTGATCTAGTCAGTTAATTTAGAGGGGGTTGTTAATCAGTTTCAGCTGCTTTGGTGTTAATGAAATTAACAACAGGTACACTAGATGGGCAACAATGAGATGACCCCCAAAACAGAATGGCATTACAGGTGGAGGCCACTGACATTTTTTTCCCTACTCATCTTTTCAGACTATTTTTCACTAGTTTTGCATTTGGCTGGGGGTAAGTGTCACTTCTGGTAGCATGAGGCGATACCTGGACCCTACAGAGGTTGCACAGGCAGTCCAACTCCTCCAGGATGGCACATCAATACGTGCCATTGCCAAAAGGTTTGCTGTGTCTCCCAGCTCAGTCTCAAGAGCATGAAGGAGATTCCAGTTATTCTATGAGAGCTGGACAGGGCCGTAGAAGGTCCTTACCCCATCAGCAGGACCGGTATCTGCACCTTTGTGCAAAGAGGAACAGGATGAGCACTGCCAGAGCCCTACAAAATGACCTCCAGCAGGCCACTGGTGTGAATGTCTCTGACCAAACAATCAGAAACAGACTTCATGAGGGTATCCTGAGGGCCCGATGTCCTCTAGTGGGCCCTTTGCTTACTGCCCGACACCATAAAGCTCAATTGGGATTTGCCATTGAACACCACAATTGGCAGGTCCGCCACTGGCGCCCTGTGCTTTTCACAGATGAGAGCAGGTTCACCCTGAGCACATGTGACAGACATGAAAGGGTCTGGAGAAGCCGTGGAGAATGTTATTCTGCCTATAACATCATTCAGCATGACCATGTTGGTGGTTGGTCAGTGATGATCTGGAGAGGCATATCCATGAAGGGATGCACAGACCTCTTCAGGCTAGACAATGGCACACTGACTGCCATTAGGTATCAGGGTGAAATCCTTGCACCCATTGTCAGACCCTACGCTGGTGCAGTGGGTCCTGGGTTCCTCCTGGTGCACGACAATGCCCGGCGTCATGTGGCAAGAATATGCAGGCAGTTCCTGGAGGATGAAGTAATTGATACCATTGAATGGCCCCCACGCTCGCATGACTTAAATCCAATAGAACACCTCTGGGATATCATGTTTCGGTCCATCCAACACCGCCTGGTTGCACCTCAGACTGTCCAGGAGCTTGGTGATGCAAAGGTCCAGATCTGGGAGATAATACCCCAGGACACCACCCGTTGTCCCATTAGGAGCATGTCCGGACATTGTCAGGCATGCATACAAGCACGTGGGGGCCATACAAACTACTGAGTACCATTTTGAGTTGCTGCAATGAAATTTCAGCAGAATTGACTAGCCTGCTGCATCATTTTTTCACTTTGATTTTTGGGGTGTCTTTGAATTCAGTCTTCTGTAGGTTGATAATTTTCATTTCCATCAAACGATGGGGCATCCTTACGTTCCTAACACATTACCCAGTCCATATCAGTATAGATATCAAGCATGATATTTTTTCCCCATTGAGATTTGATGTGGTTTCAAAATGTTCCTTTAATTTTTTTGAGCAGTGTATTTTGAATAGTAACTCAGTTTGTCTTTCTATTAGCCTGTTGTTGTTCTTTGTACAGCATGATTCAGTCTGAGGGAGGCAGGGACAATACACTTTTTCATCATTCCACAATACATAAAGAGCTGGATTATAGGTAGGAGATCACAGGCTGATCTCATTCAGTATGTTGCTCCTCCTTCAGTATCCTATCAAAGACTGGGATGGTCATTGTACTCCTATAATAAAAAAGAAAAGTTAGCTTAAAACCTGGCAGTACTGTCTGACAGGGTTAGATAGTTCACACATATCCCAGTTGTGAATTTAGCTGTTTGCCATCACTTTCTATTCTATTAAATATTTTATTAACCACTTCCTGTCCAGGGCAATTTTCAGCTTTCAGCGCTATCACACTTTGAATGACAATTGCGCGGTCATGCAACACTGTACCCATATGAATTTTTTTACCATTTTTTTGAGACAGATAAAACTTTATTTTGGTGGTATTTATTCACCGCTGGGATTTTTATTTTTTTTTGCTATGTAAATGAAAAAGTCCCAAAATTTTGAAAAAAAGTATTTTTCCTATAAAATTTTGCAAATAAATAATATTTCATCATAAATATTGGCCAAAATGTATTCCGTTATCTTTTTAGTAAAAAAAATAAATAAATAAGCCAAATTAGTTTATAACCAAAAATTATAATTTTTAAACATTTTACATTTTTATTTTATTTTTTTATATTATTAGTTATGTTTTTTTTTTTTACATACTGTCACCCCAGCAGTACAGTGTCATCATGGTGACACTGTACTACTTGTGGGAGGTGATGAAGATTTTTATTTTTTTTTTTTACACTGATTGCTTTTACACCCATATAGGATGTAAAAGCAATCATTTCTCTTTCACTCTGTCTGCGTTCTTGCAGCCATTGAGAACTACTGAGTGAGCTGTGATTGGTCACAGCTTGTCACATGGTACAAGGCTGTTGTGAATAGCCTTGTACCATGTGACCTCTGTGATCATTCACAGATTTCACACGTAGTAAGCAATGATGTCACAAGTGACATCTTGCTTACTACTTTGCATGTGATCACTGATTGGCCAATCAGTGATCACATGATCGGGACCTCGTACAGAGGTCCCGTCCGACAATCAGTGTTTCACTGTGTCCGGAGGACACAGCGGGCATCAGATCACGGTGCGTGCACAAGCAGGGTGCGGGGAGGCTGTTTATAAATGGCCACCTGACCCTGCAGTTCCACCGTCCGGCCGTTTATATACAACGGCCGGACGGGAGGTGGTTAATTATAAAATAATTATAAACTTGCATAGTGCCAAAGGCAGATGCCGTATATCTTTTAAGTTTAAAGTAAAAATGTTATTACCCTTGATTATGACGTGTGTAGTGCAGTCTGCCTACCATGTGTAGGGCCTCAAGCATTGCTGCTCTTATCTCTATGAGCCAATACTGTATGAGGCAGACTTTGACCACTAGACTACAGCTTAGAGAGTCAGTGCTAGACCTCTTCTGAAAGGACAGATCAGAGTCCAGGATTACAGGCTCCAGGATACATAGTCCAGGATACTTCTTCCAGCTCCATAACTGACGGTCTGTACCTTAGTGTGCACCTGTAGCTGAAGGAAAAATCTGCAGAAGCCAGTGCATTATACCCAAGATCCACTGATTACAGTTCATACAATGCTTTGCAGGCTCAAATACAAAAAATTTGTAAATACAGTTTTTTTTAATCAATGTGGGTGCATTTATTTAGAAAAAAAAAGTTTAATATGCCTTTAAAGTGACATTAATCAATATCTTTAATTTCCCAAAAATCCATAAACACCCACTACTTAATGGTTCTGTAAGCAGTTTTTTGTGAAATGTTTCTTTCTGTGTTTTCTGCCTCCTTGCAACATCCTCTCCTTTTGCAATAAGCAGTGCCCATTTGTTGTGGTCATATGCACTGCTCTATGCACGCTTACAAATCCTACAATTTGTAGTTCACAGACCCTAATCCAGTGAGGCAGTGAGAAGCAAGGAAGAAAGGATGGCTATATTCTTACATACAGTATTGGAACAATGGAGAACAATTGTAGCCACCATCTAACAGAAAGTCTGATCACAGCAGCAGCAGCGAAAAACAAAAAGAAAAAGAAACTTGGACGGGGCTAAGAGCAATAGAATGTACTTTTTTGAGTCAAAAATACATACCCAAATATATATATATTATTATTATTATAATACAGGATTTATATAGCGCCAACAGTTTGCTCAGCGCTTTACAATATAATGGTAGACAATACAGCAACAATACAGTTCAATACAAGGGGTAGCACAGTGGCTAAGTGGTTAGCACTTCTGCCTGGCAGTACTAGAGTCATCAGTTCAAATCCCAACCACAGCACCACCTGCCTGGAGTTTGCATGTTCTCCCTGTGCCTGCATGGGTTTCCTCCCACATTCCAAAGAGGTGAATTGGATCCTGTCTAAATTGTCCCTAGTATGTGTATGCATGAATGTGAGTTAGGGACCTTAGATTGTACACCCCTTGAGGGTTAGGGACCGATGTGAATGTACAATATATATGTAAAGTGCTGTGTAAATTGACAGTGCTATATAAGTACCTGAAATAAATAAATAAGAGGGAAAGGAGGGCCCTGCTCCTTGGAGCTTACAATCTAGGAGGGAGGGGCTAGTGGTACAAAAGGTAGTAACTATGGGGGATGGACTGGTTGGAAGAGTAGAAGATTCCATTATTAGCTGAGGGCAGGATAGGCTTCCCTGAAGAGATAGGTTTTCAGAGATTGCATAAAAGTGAGAAGAGTAGGCAATAGTCTGATAAATTGGGGTAGAGAGTTACAGAGGATGGGGGAAACTCTGGAGAAAATCCTGGAGATGAGCATGGGAGGAGGAGACAAGGGAGCTAGAGAGCAGGAGGTCTTGCGAGGAGCGGAGAGTACGGTTTGGGTGATATTTAGAGACAAGATCGTTGATGTAATTTGGGGCAGAGTTATAAATGGCTTTATACGTTATTGTTAATGTTTTGAATTTTATCCGTTGGGCAATGGGAAGCCAGTGGAGGGATTGGCAGAAAGGGGTGGCAGATACAGAACGGTTAGTAAGGTGGATAAGTCTGGCAGCAGCATTCATGATAGACTGAAGAGGGGATAGCCTGTGATGAGGTAGGCCAATGAGGAGGGAGTTACAGTAGTCAAGGCGAGATATAACAAGGGAGTGAATAAGTTGCTTAGTGGTTTCCGAGGCTAGGAACGGGCGTATCTTGGAGATGTTGTGGAGGTGGAGTCTACAAGATTTGGACAGTGATTGGATTTGGGGCTGAAAGGACAGAT